GTGGGGTATGGGTGGGTGGGTGGGTGTGGGGTGGGGTATGGGTGGGTGGGTGGGTGTGGGTGTGGGGTGGGGTATGGGTGGGTGGGTGTGGGGTGTGGGTGTCGGGTGGGTGTGGGTGTGGGTGTCATTTCCCTCTTTATTCACACCCACACTCACACCCACCCACATCCACACACCCCACCACCACCTACACTCACACCCACATCCGCACACCCCACCACCACGTACACCCACACCCTCTCACTATATAGGATTTTTTGGCGAATGTCGTTTATATTTTTTAAGATTTTTGAGCTAGACTGGTAGAATCATCTTCGTACTGATCCACTACGATATGAGCACAATATGGAAGATAAAATCGCAAAAAATAAAAAAATATATTGACACAGTGTAAATATACTTTGATAAAAAGTGGTTAAAGAAAAAAATATTATAATAAAACGCATAATATCTTCTACAATTAAATACATCATTCAAGCCTAACTAACTTATTGTAACTAAGGTATTGAATTGTTAAAATGATTTTTTCACACTAATGATAAAAAATGATTTTTTTCTCTAGTTTAGTGTGCAATAAATTATGAGTTTTTGCAACTTGGTCTCCTTAGAAATTTCCTCTATCTTTGTTTAATTGAACTGAAATTTTTACTACCGACATCTGTAAGTGTTAGGATGATAATATCCAATCAGTTTATTAAAGATTTTAAAATTAGAAAGCAGTTTATTTTCGAGGAGTTACTAATGCAGAAAAAAATAATAAAATAATTAGATTTAAAGTGCATTAAAAAAAAATAAAACAGCTAGAGTATATTATCAGATAAATTTACATTTTTTAACTAATCCATTCGCGTTAACAGTATAAATATCTTTTTCATAACAAATATTTATTTTTATCAGTTTAGTGCAATCAACTCTTATTTTGTCCTTTCCAACGTTTGTCTTACATTAGTTTAGGTTCATTATGAAAACGACTGCAACTAACTTCCAAATAAATCGAAATGTCGTGAAATGGGCACTACATCCAGCTGTTGTTGTTAGCGTTGTTGTTATTGTTATTAATGTTGATGGTGTTGTATATAGATTTGTCAATGTACACGAACTTTGACCATAATAAGAATTTGCTGATACTAATGCTTTACTCATATCAAGATAATAACCATTTGATAAAACATTTCTTATACAACCACTAAATGTATTGACTTGTGTTAATGATGGATAAAGACCAGATATTAATGAACCAGTAACTGGTAAACCACCGAGATATAATTGAACATTTGATAAATCATATGTATTTAACGTATCATTAACTGTTGTTACATATTGACAATCATTTATTGAAACAAGAATTGTTGAATCAACATACTTAAAAAATAAAAAAATAAAATCATAAATTTAAAGATTATACTTTGAACATACGAAAAATAATGACGAAAGTATTCTTCAGTTAATATTAAATTTTAATAAGAGCCGTTTGTTATGATATCTGACAATTCGAATAACAAAAAATCACATGGTATCCAGATCCGGAGAGTTACTTGAGGTCCTTGTCACTCTCAATAATTGATCTCAATCCAGGAACGTTAAAATGGCATGAAATTTTCAGGATATGTTAAGGCTGTATATATATATATATTAAAAAAAGGACTTTGTACTGCATTGCATCTTCATGCGCTCTTTCAAACCAAAAAACAAATCAATTAAATATATTGCATGACTATTGACAGAGAAATTTGGATTGTGCGCTCAAGAAAGTATAAGCTGAGAGAAAATGAAAAAAGATTTCCTATTTTTTATGAAAACAACTTATTTTACGGATCAAACCACGGGCTATCTTCTTATGCATTTGTCTTAATTTTGACCATTCTGACGAAAAGTGACTTTTCTGATGAGGGACGCCTTAAGTGAAACCTTAATAAAGTCCTTTCTATCTTTCTTCTTTGTTCTACTGAAATCACCTTTTTTTATACTCTAGTGTCCAACCGAGAGGGTACCCTGCTGATAAATGACCCACTATACGGGTATTTTGAGCACAGTACATTCACAAGGTGATATTAGAAGAGACAATAAAAAGACGAGGATATACATCGAATAGTGGCAGTGCCCAAGAAAGTGTTGAGCCCTTAGAAAATTCTTAAAGTTGCGATGCCATGGAAGGTTCAAGGGCAGGCTTAGCTTTCTTCCCCTGGCATCACTGCTAACATTGAAGACAAAATATGATCTAATATTACCATTACATATCATAACAAATAGATCTTATTGGAATTTCATATGAATTGAGAATTATAGAGCATTGTTTTTACTAGTAGATCATATAGAAAGCTACTTTAAGTTTTTTTTTTATAAGGAATTAAAATATTTTCACCAGCATTTTTTATAATAAAAAAATATCTCACTTGATATTCAACATGATACCATGTTGATGCATTAAGTACTGTATTTGTTGCATCAAGTATTGTATCACGAAAATGAAATCTTAATCTTGATTGATAAATTTCAATTGCTGTCCAAAAAAAATCATTTATTGGTATTGTATTACGTCCATATAATAAAATTAAACCATCAATTATTGGTGATCGTATAGCAAAATCAAACGAAAAACGTGTTGGTGCACGATTTGAAAAAGTTCTTCCATCATATAC